ATTTAATAAAAAAATAAATATCTTAGATTTATAACGAAAATGATATCAATTTTTATTGTAAGAAAATTAGTTAAAAAAAGTACTGTGATTAAAAAAATTAGATTTATTTATTTTGTGGTATAACCTGTAGTCCCAACATGTTCTTTGATCATTTTTGTTCTCCAGTTGTTTTCTGGCTGCTTTCGAAGCATCCCGTGTAGAAATTTTCCTGCCTGATCCCTAGTTGAAGGCCCGATTCTGACTAGAAATTCCTATGTTTGATGATTGAGTTTAAATCATACGCGAATCCGATCCGAAAACCGTATGTTGAAAAAACATATATATAAGATAGGTTTTTCTGAGCTGTATCCAGTGGGGAAGTCGTATAGCTCGTAGTTGTTTTCTCTGAGATAAGAAATCCCGATTAGAATCTGAAACGGCATTCTTGTAAACCGCGATACGTCGTATTCGCAAGGATCTTCTGATCATATTCACGTCAGTATTTCCTTATTTTTTCGAAGTAAATATTTATTGTATTTTGTATAGGTTAAGTGATAGGTTAAGATCGCATTAATACTAGCATAATAAAAGCAGAAATTTTATACTTATTTTATAAAAGAATAATGGAAAAACTAAACAGTGAAAAAGGAAAACAAAAAAATAGAAAGTGCAAGCGAAAGAACCGATTAATTCAAAATGAAGTTAAAACTTACATTGCTAGTACCAACGCTGTGTATCTTTGTAAGTTATGGCACAATAATATATTTTATTTTACTAGTAATTTTAACTTCACATGAAATATTGCGTTATTTATATTTTCTGATCCAGACCAACATCAGCAAGCTAAGAAATTTCTAATTAACGAATTTCTCTTGAGCAGCTGTAATGACGTGAAAAAAAAAATATTATCTGAAATTCAAAGTAACATGCAATTTGAAGAAAATTCCCATCGTATACACGAAAATGATACTTTTGAACCTCGGTCAACTAATTCAGACAATGACAATACAGAACAAAATAATGATTCGGTGATAGAGATGATTGCGAGTGAGCTTGATAAAAAAGAATTAAGCGAAATAGATGAAATAAAGCAATGGGCATTAAATCATAATGTTGATAATAAAACATTGAATCATCTTCTGTTAATTTTACAGAAGAGAGTAAAACAAACTGTTGGAATGTGGACATTCTTTATTTTAAATTTTCGTCTGCCTTAACGGCTAGTAATGCGGCAGCAGTTCTCGGAACAGATTTATCCGTTCTGATTATCGGTGTTGCTTGAGCAAAGTTCAATCGACGATTCCTTGTGATCTGATAAGTATCGTCTATTGTGTTAATTATACATTTGTTAAACGTCATCTCAGAAAATTTAGGTAAGTAATATAATTATTTTATGCACTTTCGTCATAATTCAGTGACTTGAATGTTTGTTTTCGTATGAACGATTTTCGGATGATACGATGAAGTATGTATACGAACTAACCTCAAAATTAATTTATACAAAGTGGATTTCATACTTTAAAAGAAACTATAAAAATATTACTCAATAAATCTATGCAAAATATTTTCATGCATTAAATCTAAAATTATTGACAATAATGTAAAATTCTTTATGTTCGTTCATCAAATAAAACCTTGCAAAGTTTAATATTACTATACTATAAGTAACATTTAGATTTATAGATAATATTGAAATTGATATTACTGCGTGATAATTATTAGATATACAATTATTTTTCTATTCAGTGAATAATAATAAATTTACTAATATTAAAAAATTAATTAGTCTAATAAAAAAATGAATTATAATAAGTTATTATCATTAAACAGTGGTATTACCAATTGTTAAAAAGATTTGTGATGTCATTTGTTTATTATTTAATTTATTCAAATGAGACAAATAAGCATTTAATCTATTTTTCAGCTATGAACAACAGCAAAGCCACTACTAAGTATAAGTACTACATCTGTGAGTTTATAGGCTGCATTAATGACACTGGCGAGACTGATAAAGATATACTTCCTTCCTCTTGGATAAGGTTTGACACAAATATAAAAAAACTCCAAGCACCGTATCCAAATCCTCCTTATACGAAAGCTGTGTTTAAGAAGCTACAAGAAGATGTCAAATTGATTCGTAACCCAAATAAAAATTGGAGCTTGTGGGAAATCAAACTGAAAGGAGGTGCAAGTAAGAATATTATAATATGGCGTACGGTTTATTTGTAGAATAATAATAATTTTCATGTATTTTTTAGACAACTATGTCCAGGCTGAGAGCAGGTTAGCGAGACTGAAATCTAATGGTTATTGTTTTACAACGGATCAAGAAGACCAAGAATCTAAAGCAGAAGATCAATTTGATGCATTTCGTAATGAAAATATAAACGAAATTTTAGCAAGTGATAGTGAATACAGTAGTATTCAGTCCTCTTCGCTTGAAGAATCTAATAATTCAATTTCTGAACAGGAACGTACAAAGTCTGCCAAGATGAATAAAAAAGGTAATTTAGCCTTATAAACTCACTTCTTTTCCACATATTTACAATATTTTGTAATCGTTTTCCATTGATATTTATGCTTACAGCTACGAAAAAAAGAAAACTAAGTCCACAAAGTATCAAGTGAAACTACCTGAGCAGAAGAAAAATGTTCTTCCAGAAATCACAGTAAAAGTAGATGAAAGGTTAGAATCGCCATCAGCTGAAGAAATCATTCAGCAAGCAGACTTGTTTGATGTTACCGAAGCAATAAATATGTCTGATGACCAATTGTTAGGTAAAAGTTACTGTTGTGGTTATTTGAATTATGTACTAAACTTTTTTCTTTTATGTCTACTTATATAAGAATTTGTGTTCAATTTATTATTTTTAGAGTATTCACAACATACTCTGGATAGAATGTTACGTCGCAACGTGAAACATATGTATTAACACATACGTGCGATATTCAGACATGTATTTTTGAAGCGAATCAGGCTGCGCGCGCAGCTCTCGCGTGTCTGTGTGCAAGTGTGTGTGTGAGGCGCTAGGGCCTAAAACCTAGCGTGGTGGCAGCACCTTACGGCGCTGCGCCACTCGCGCCAAGCATGGCGAAATTTGCCGGTACATCCGGCAGTCGTCGACGACAGCGTCCTGCGTGCGGAGCTCCCTCGCGCCTTCGCGTTCTCAGCAACGTCCTCGTGCACCCAGGTGCAACCTCACTCATACTACCCACGTAGTATCGTCCTCGTGCACCCAGGTGCAACCTCACTCATACTACCCACGTAGTATCGTCCTCGTGCACCCACGTGCAACCTCACTTATACTACCCACGTAGCATAAGGTTTCGTCCACTCACGTGGTCTGTCTTATCTTTTCAACGTAATCCGGGTGCGTGACAGTGAATGTGAATTCATCGTGCATCAATTTTCTTTGTGTGAGAGCGTGTGAGTGTCTCCGCGCGACGTCTCTATTCCGCGTTATCTTCGCAAGTGTAATTTCCAGTGTTTTATTTAATAAAAAGGGTTTTTTATGCCGTTACGGCTTTTTCCCTTTAAATAGTGTTTAATTAATTTCTCTTTCCCTCCAATTAATTAAAGAACTTAACCACTACAAGCAAATCAACGATCTAGGACAACAAATCAAGAACTGGAGCGATTTACTTCGCCAAGGAAGTCGTTCGTGTCAATTCATGGTGCCTCCTGTGAGGTAGTTTTCTACCTCTTTCTCTCCCTCCTTTTTATTCTCGAAAAAAAAGGGACGTCGCGCGAGTGTAAGTGTGTGAGAGTGTGTGGGGAGGGAAAAGTGCATATAAAAGAAAACGCGCGAAAACGTGCGCAACGTGCACGGACAAGTGCAGCCCGCCAATTTCATCTCCTCTCTCGCTCGCTCTCCCGCCATTCATTCGCGCCTCGTGCAATTGCCTACGCTCGGCGCGCGCAACAGCGCGCGCAAACACTGAGCGTGCGCAACAGCGTGCGCAATCGTCCAGTGTGCGCAACAGCGTGCGCAATCGTTCAGCGTGCGCAACAGCGTGCGCAGTCGTCATTGCCGATCAGCATTGCCGTCGCTTCCGACCAGGGGGACTCACCAGCGGCGGCCACCGACAGCGGTTTACGCTGACTAAGATAAGTGTTCTTATTTCGTCTCTCGCCTTCTCTGCTTCAATGAATAAATATACGCCTGCGAACAAACAGCTTCGCTTTCCACTTACAACGATTAATTCCATTTTTATCGAATTAATTCTAGCGTTTTAGTTTTTATTTTTTGTCGTCTGCTTCTTGTCAAATCGAGTGAATCAATCAAACTAAAATTCGATCGCGCTTTGATTGGTACTCGAGTCATTGTTAGCATTTCATGTTTATTCGAATTTAGCGAGCAATTTACAATCCATTAGTGATTAATTGCCATTAAATAAGTTGTAGACAATTGTTTGATATTGTTTAATTATTCAGTTAGAATTTCGTTGTTCGTTTCAATTACACGTTTTTTGTTTTTTTTTAACGTTAATTTCAATTTGATTCATAACGCGTCGCTTCGATTCAATAAATAGCTAAAATGAGTAACGACGAGGTCATTCCTGCCAGCGGCAACTCAGAAAAACGCTTAATTTATATCGAGCAGAAATTTAATAGGTTTACAAAAACATTGAAATCCCTTAAAGAATATTTAGCAAAAGGATCGCCTGACGCGACGAACGCGGAGTTGCGAATAAATTCCCTTTCGACAATATATCAAGGTTATTCAGCGAATCGCGAAGAACTTCTTTCGATGCAACCCGAGCATCCCCACATCGCTGCATTCGATGAGCTCGAATCCGAATATTTCGAAGTAGCGAGTCAAATATCAAAAATGAACAAACCCCCAGCGACCCCTCTCGCGAATTCCACTATGTTCAACGGAAGTAACACCGCCACCTTCATAGAGAGAACTGACGTGGCGAAACTTGCACCGTTGACAGTACCCAAATTCGATGGGAACCACAAGAACTGGGTCCCCTGAAAAGCCAACTTTCAAGCGCTTATACACGATCGTCCAGGAATGGCCGGAAGCGTCAAACTGTCCCAACTTCAAAATGCAGTTCAGGGTTTAGCAGCGACCGTAATAAAGGAATTCTGTCTTGACCCCAGCGACGTCAGCTACAACTTGGCTTGGGAAGCGTTGTGCAATGCCTACGATCAACGACGTGTTCTGGTCAACGAGCACTTCGACGCTCTGCTAAAGTTAGCTCCCGTTCAAAATCCAACCGCCGAGACCACAGCCACCCTTATGTACACCGTCCGTCAACACGTTAGCATGCTCAAAACAATGAACATTACGATCTGCGACGAATTTGTCCTGCGGATTCTAGAAAGATGCCTGCCCGGGTATCTCCTGTCGCGGTGGATGGATAAACACTCAAATCGCGAAATCCCCAAATTAGAAGAATTGTACATTTTCGTTCAGGATTCAATATTCAAACAACGAGCGATAGGTGAACTTCCGAAACGAGATTACCAGTCCAAAAGGAAAGGAGTAGGCAACAAGGCAGAACCCCCGGCGAAGGTCTCCAAAAACATTACCAACACACTCGTTACCACTTCAGCGACCAACAACAACGCGTGCGTTAAATGCGGTCAATCCCACAGACTCTACAAATGCGAAAAGTTCAACGAAGCGAAATTGAACGAAAGGTGGGAACTCGTTAAAGCAAAGGGGTTGTGTCGCAACTGCTTATACGTCCACTCCGCTTCTTGTACCAGCGAAAAAAGGTGCAAAAAATGTCACAAGGATCATCATACCCTTCTGCATGCAGATAAAAAATCAGGACCATCTACCCCTCAACCCGCGAACGATTCGAAACCGTCCGGGACGTCTCAACCATGACTAAGCCAACAAACGTTCGCGTCAGGCGCATACCTCCCTGATTCTCAACTCATGACCACAGCAATTTTAAGCTTTCAGTCATGTCGAGGGAAACGTCTCATGGCACGCTCGTTACTAGATTCATGTTCTAACGCAAACTTAATGACTCAATCTCTTGTCAATCGTTTACAATTACCAGTTAAACAATGCTTTGTGAATATCAGAGCAATAGACAACACGAATGTCGTTTCAGAAAAATACGCTACTGCCACTTTCTTTTCTACATATAATGATTCTAAACACCAATTAAACTTCTTGATTGTACCTAAAATAGCTGAGAAGGTGCCTAATGAGACTTTCCCTCGGGAGAAATTCAACATCCCTAAGAATATCAAATTCGCAGATCCCCAATTTCACATACCCAGACCCGTCGATGTCTTACTAGCGTCAGGTCCAACCCTGTCTTCTCTTGCCATAGGGCAAATCAAGCTAAACGACGAAAGATCCCAAATCACTCTTCAAAAAACTTCTTTCGGCTGGATAGCAGCCGGAGGATCAATCTTATCAACGATTTCCAACTCCGTTTCGTGCAATGCGGTAAGGTTAGATACGCTCTTAGAAAGATTCATGGCGATGGAAGACGTGGATTATCAACCCATCAAATCAGAAGAGGACGTAGCGTGCGAGAGGTACTTCGTTCAAACCACGACACGCGATACTTCAGGTCGCTATATCGTTCGTCTGCCGTTTCGATCAGGCAAATTCGAAATAGGTTCGTCAAAACACCAAGCGTTACAGCGTTTTCAGGCGCTGCAACGCAAATTTGAAGCTAACTCTAGGTTCCGAGCAGAATACGAGAAGGAATTCGACGGGTACCTGGAACTTGGCCACATGACACTGTGCGAGGGCGACGACAACGATGGTTACTACTTGCCTCACCATGCGGTGATCAAGGAGTCCAGCGAAACGACAAAATGTCGTGTTGTTTTCGATGCTTCTGCGAAATCCTCCACGGGCATTTCGTTGAACGATATGTTGTTGACTGGGCCGACCATTCAGGAAACTCTGTGGGAACAAATTTTGCGATTCCGTTCTCATTCCTTCGTCATCACTGCCGACATCGAAAAGATGTACCGACAAATCTGGATTCATCCCGACGACAGGAAGTTCCAGAAGATCTTGTGGTACCACGAAGGCGAAATTCGAACTTTCGTTCTCAACGTCGTAACTTTCGGGGTGAAGTGTGCTCCCTTTCTCGCAATTCGAACATTGCACCAGTTAGCCGTTGATGAAGAAAGCAGATTCCCAAGGGCCGCAATGTTACTTCGTCGAGACTTCTACGTTGACGATTTCCTTTCAGGTGCAGACACGCTGGGGGACATCATGAGGATTCGCGACGAGATGATCAAACTCTTGAGTCGCGGGGGTTTCGTAATACGAAAATGGTCCTCTAATCACCCGTCAGCGTTAGACGACATCGACAAAAACATCTTCGATTTAGACTGTGGCATACAAGGAAATCCCATAAAAAAGACCCTCGGAATTATCTGGGACTCGCAACGAGACGTCTTCACATATTCCGCAAACCTGACTCGTCAGCTTCTACGAAAAGAAAGCTCCTTTCCCAAATTGCAAGGATCTTCGATCCTCTAGGCTTATTAGGTCCTTTAACCTTGTATGCCAAAACGTTAATTCAGGAATGTTGGAAAGCTAACATTACCTGGGACGAATCCCTACCTCAAGACATCCACACCAAGTGGATAGCTTTAGCTGAACAACTCCCTTTAGTGCGAGAACTTGCGTTACCAAGATATCTGCGATATGACATCGCAAACCCAATATCCACCGAGATACACGGCTTCTGCGACGCGTCGATTAAAGGATACGGCGCGTGCATCTACATCCGTTCCGTTGATTCCGTAGGAAATGTTACTGTTAGGTTAGCTTGCAGTAAATCCAAGGTCGCTTCGCTTAGTCATCACACCATACCTCGTTTAGAACTCTCTGGCGCTGCCCTTCTGAAAAGACTATATGTCGAACTGGTGACCCAGCTGACTTTTAATATCGTACGAACAATTCTTCGAACGGACTCAAGAATCGTTCTCTGCTGGTTAGATAAAGCTCCTCATCTACTTAGAACATACGAGGCAAACAGAGTCGCTGATATTCAATCGCTAGGTGAGAAAGTCGAGTGGAAGCATGTTCGTTCGAAGGACAATCCAGCCGATTCACTATCCCGTGGACAATTACCTAGGGAACTTTTAGCTAACCCCCTCTGGCATTCAGGCCCTCCATGGTTAGTTCTTCCCGAAGATCAATGGCCTTCATCGGAAGAATCCTCATTAGGTGATCCCCTAGAAGCGAAAGAGGGAATCGTTTTGTTTACAACCTCTTCCGGGAGTAACATCTGCTCTCGTTTCTCTGATTACGGGTGTCTTATTAGGTCCATTGGATATCTTCTCCGTTGGAGTAGAAGAAAATCACAACCAGACGATACTCAAATAGCGAGTAAATCGCAACGAGGGATTCGTTATCTTTCCCAAGCCGAAATAGTTTACGCTGAACTCCAGATCCTCCTTCTTATTCAAAGAGAATGTTTTAGTTCCGAGATTAGATTGCTCAATTCTACTACGAAATTAATATCTAAATGTCCCAACGGCGCTTTCAGGAGTCGAACGAAGTTCGACGAACTCAATCCCTTCTTAGACGAGTATGGACTGATCAGAGTAGGCGGTCGGTTGAAGAATTCAAATCTTCAATTCAACCAAAAATACCCTATTCTGCTACCCAGTAACCATCACGTGTCAGATCTCATCATCCGCGACGCTCATCATCGAAATCTTCACGGAGGGGTTCAATCCACTCTTTATAGGATACGCGAAAGATTTTGGATTCTCAACGGTCGAAACCAGATTCGACATGTCTTGCGCCGCTGCGTACCCTGTCTTCGGCAAAGGCCAAACTTCTCACATGCCAAGATGGCAGACCTTCCTGAATCTCGAGTAAACCCTGCGTTTCCTTTCGCGAAGACCGGCGTCGATTTTTTTGGTCCGATTATGATCAAGGAGAAAAGAGATCGAAATCGAAGCTTCCTTAAGGCGTACGGGTCCGTTTTCGTTTGCATGGCCACTAAGGCTGTCCACATCGAGGTAGCATCCGATCTCTCAGCCGAGGGCTTCCTTGCGTGCTTTCGTCGGTTCGTTGCCACGCACGGCAAACCGACCACCATGTATTCTGATAACGGTACCAACTTTGTGGGCGCGAACAGCGAACTGCAAAGGATTTACCAATTGCATGATTCACCTGAATTTAAGGACGCGATTCAAACCTTTGCTGCAGCCGAACGGATTGAATGGAACTTTAATCCCCCTCTTTCACCGCACTTCGGCGGTTTGTGGGAGGCGGCGGTTAAGAGTTTCAAACACCATCTAAATCGTGTTATTAAGGATCAAAAGCTCACATACGAGCAGTTGGAAACATTATTAAAGGAAATCGCCGCTGTGTTAAATTCTCGACCATTATACGCGATTTCTGCCGACCCAAATGACTCCCTTGCAATAACTCTAGCTCATTTTTTAATCGGGCGTTCTTTCAATTTCTTACTCGACCAAAATTATGTTTCAGTTCCGGACAATCGTCTCACCTCCTATCAGCTCGTCTCTAAAGCTAGACAAGCCTTCTGGAGCAAATGGCACAAGGAGTACTTGCATGAACTGCAAACTCGTCAGAAGTGGTTGACTTCCGGAACTGCATTATCAATTGGATCTGTGGTTGTGTCCATGGAGGACAACCCTGCTTGCGCAAGATGGCCCCTGGGAGTCGTCGTGGAAATCCACCCTGGGAGCGATGGCATTGTTCGAGTGGCATCGGTGAAGATGGCTTCCGGAATCTACAAACGGAACATTACTCGGCTCTGCGTACTCCCTGTAGATCAGGAAAACGCGGACCCGTTGGAGTCTCAAGTCACCCTCCCGAATTCGTAATTAGCCCCAGATGTGCGCTCTGTGGTTTGCCATAAACGAGTCGAACCATGGAGTATTCTGGAAGTGCTTTAAGCCTGGCCCGCGAGAGGGTAGAGTACAGAGTGCTCTACAGCCAGATGCCCAAAGAATCAATCTTTGGAAGCGCGATACCTGGCCGGAGATCAGGTTCCCACAATCGCGGAGACTCCAACCTTTCGTCGACCTTAACCATAGGAAGCGTGATCAGTGGAGTGTCAAACTTCTGGCACCAGATGATCTTGCGTAAATTAAGTTGTTTCTTAGTTTTAAGACTTGTAAATCGTTCGTTTCGTCGTACTAGTGACTTAAGAAAAAATTGAAGCAAAATAGCTTTCAATCAATCAGATTGTGATGTCGATGCTAATCAATAGACCAGTCCCTTCAAAGAAAACTGGCTCCTCATGTAAAGAAACCAAAGACCGTCCTAGTTTTGTGATCAGGAAGGGGTCAATTAGTCAATGTAAGCTCTTGTTAAGTCTAACACTGCTCGACCATTAATGGTCCAATTAGTCTCGCAGCCGTGGCCGGCAGTATGTTACGTCGCAACGTGAAACATATGTATTAACACATACGTGCGATATTCAGACATGTATTTTTGAAGCGAATCAGGCTGCGCGCGCAGCTCTCGCGTGTCTGTGTGCAAGTGTGTGTGTGAGGCGCTAGGGCCTAAAACCTAGCGTGGTGGCAGCACCTTACGGCGCTGCGCCACTCGCGCCAAGCATGGCGAAATTTGCCGGTACATCCGGCAGTCGTCGACGACAGCGTCCTGCGTGCGGAGCTCCCTCGCGCCTTCGCGTTCTCAGCAACGTCCTCGTGCACCCAGGTGCAACCTCACTCATACTACCCACGTAGTATCGTCCTCGTGCACCCAGGTGCAACCTCACTCATACTACCCACGTAGTATCGTCCTCGTGCACCCACGTGCAACCTCACTTATACTACCCACGTAGCATAAGGTTTCGTCCACTCACGTGGTCTGTCTTATCTTTTCAACGTAATCCGGGTGCGTGACAGTGAATGTGAATTCATCGTGCATCAATTTTCTTTGTGTGAGAGCGTGTGAGTGTCTCCGCGCGACGTCTCTATTCCGCGTTATCTTCGCAAGTGTAATTTCCAGTGTTTTATTTAATAAAAAGGGTTTTTTATGCCGTTACGGCTTTTTCCCTTTAAATAGTGTTTAATTAATTTCTCTTTCCCTCCAATTAATTAAAGAACTTAACCACTACAAGCAAATCAACGATCTAGGACAACAAATCAAGAACTGGAGCGATTTACTTCGCCAAGGAAGTCGTTCGTGTCAATTCATAGAATTAATCGGTTGACTGAAAATAAACCCAAAGTACTTGCAACTCAAGATAGCTTTCCATATAATGCTTCAATCGGTTCACCTGCTCTTCAAGTTTCTCTTGGTAAAATGTTTATGTTAAAGAATTATTTTAAGTTGCTTTATATTAATTTAATGTTTATAATTACCTTTTCTCTTTTAGATACAACTGCTATATTGAAAGCAATAGCTGGATTAAAGATTATTATACAGAATGTACAGTCCGACGTAACAGATTTGAAAAGGAAGATTTTAGGATCAGAGATCGAGAGGCTCAACCAAAGTTTACAAGAAAATAATTTAATATTACCCCTTCAAACTTCAGACGATTGGAACACTTTCAATAATATCCTGCAGAATGATATAATAAAAGAGTATTTGGTCGGGAAAAAAATGATTGACATATATAAATATTGTATAGAAATATACATTGTATCATATAATAATGTTTTAATTTTCAGATCCTTTTTATGAAATCGCAGCTGGATAAAGCTGCTAATAACCCGACTAAAAGTTGTAGCAATATTTTGAAAAGTTTATTTACAAAGGAGTTGATTTCAAAATTTACAGCGTTGAAGAAAGTCGAAGGCAAGGTTGTATTTAGTAACTCTGTATGTTTCAAGATTTTAAAAGGTAAAATAGATGGGTTTATGTAATTCAATCTATTGATTCAAAACTAATTAGTAATTACTGTTTATTTTTCCAGTTCTATTACTGAGCAATCATCGAGACAATAAAGGTGATTTTATCACTGAAGGAGCCTTCAATCGAGCATTGACGTCTGCTTTTAACAATTCTAAGGATTGGGGAGGAAGACAGAAAAAAACATTTTAATTTAATTATATTAAATAAGTATTATTTTTTTGCCGCGAAAAAATATTCAAAAAATATAAACCATGTTTGTTATGTAAACTTGATGTAGAGATATTCATTAATTCATTATATTAAATTATTACAAATAAATAAAATTATTATGCATTTTAACGACACATTTTTTATTTAATAAAAGTAGGATTTGGATTAGTTTTCCGTAGAAAAATCCTGACTCGATTTACCTATCCGAATCGTAACAAAAAGCGGGACATTTTCCAGTTTGTTTCTGGCAGGGATCTCTAGTCCGATTCAAGTCTGAAATAGGTAAAACGGGCCCGATTCCATTAGGAATTTTCATGAAATTTCTACACGGGATAATATACTTTTCAGCTAATTGTTTAGCTGAACAATTAGTATCTGGCCATCGGATATGATGATTATCAGTGGTACCCATGATGACGGAACAACAATGAATCTATCCGATTTGAGCAATTTTACGATATACCATAGTGACTTATCGCCTAAAATAAAATGAAACAAAAATTAGCATTTATATGCGTAAGCAAAGTATTATTAATAGTTCAACAATTATGTATTTAGTTTGCACTAATGCTGTTTCGAAAAATTATATTTATGGAAGTGGTTATAAAAACTTATTAGATTCAACTTAACTTACTTCCTCTTTCCGTGTTTACATCTTTTCTACTCATCTTAACATCTATTAGCTCATTGTCCGTCTTCAAATCTAGTTCATTTATGTCGTCATGTTCCAAAGACGAATCGTTAATCCTTTCTACTTTAATAAACTTTTCAGTAGAATCGAATAATTTAGGAACTTCGCAGGATGATCCACAATCACTTGAATTTTTCGCTGAAAAATCGAATTATTATTTTAATGTTTTCTTCGACTTTCCAAGAAAAAAAAAATAAGTAAAAAGGAAATTATAGTATATAGGTTGAAGCATTTTTTAGAAATTATATTCATACGCAACAGCATTAATATTCAAAATAAATAAGCATATTACAATTATTTAAGTTATAAAGAAAAAATTGTGTAAAACTACTTTTTTATCGTCGTTCCAATAATTAGTGAAGTGTAATATCCCATTTCTTTGAAATAGAAATTCTACGAGTTCAAATATTGATAATTGCATTAAGCTTTTTGATGACGATTATGTAACTGTTTATAAAAATTTTTTTTTCAAATTTACCTGGTACTTCTTCGTTTAGATCATCCTCTTTATTATAGGCATGCTCTAACGATTTGTCATGACCATGCAATTGGTTCATTTCATTGCATTCCTTCTTGAGATCTATTGTGGGATCTGTAATAACATAAATCATTTAGACATCGTTTGTTAAATTATAATTCAAAATAACGTTCATAATTTACTTAGACAGTTTTCTTCCATTTGCGTTCTTGCAATCTCTTTTGTAGAAGATGTATGAATGCCAACAGACTTATGTTGAAATCCTGCAGCATCTCTATATAAAATCAAATAAACGTAATATTATAGTTTTAGTTGTTTTAGAATTGAAATATGTAGAACTTTTTACATTTTTTCTAACTTGTAAATACAAAAAATTAGTATAAATTGAATGCAGTTTTATGTGTATTTCATTTAATAAAAATTTGTTTATTGAGTTGAAAAAATAGTTTCAATTATTGAACTTAGTTAATGAATAAACAATAAAAACTCACTTTTAGTAAAAATGCTTTCTTCTGGAGGTGTCAGATCTAAGTTCATTGCTTCGTCATCAAGTAAGTCTTTGGAATGATCTTCCTCGTAACTTGAAGACTCATCGTTGTCGTAATCACCATCACTGTCGTATTTATAGTCTTTGTCTCGTTTACGTTTACGACATCTAGGTTGTGCTTTCTTCATTTGTTTTTGCCGTTCATATTCGGCATCGATGTCAGTACAACTATCATCAGATGATGCAATTTTTTCTTTTCCTTTTGCCTCCAGCAGGGTACCTATGTGAACAAAAACAAAAAGAAAATTGTGTGTGTGTGTGGAAATTTCGATGTAAAAGTTAATTTCTTTGAAAATTTATCATTATCCCTGCTAAAAATAACCTATTGGAAATGATTGAAATAGATTGAATTTTAATCATTTTTAATCATTTTCAATTGAATGATTAATTTCCTATCCAACGTGGATTAAAGTTGAATCATTTTTAATGCGATTGAATCCTAATCACAATTAATACGGAAATTTAGGATTAACTTTAATCTTTTTTTAATACCTTTCAATATTTTCCAATGAAACACACTATTCAATCATTTTTAATCAAATAATTTTCAATATGTTCTAATACATTTTCGTAACTTCAATTTCAATAACTTTCAATCGAATCCTTCTTAATACCTTTCAGTATTTTCTAATGAAACACACTATTGAATCATTTTTTATCTAATAATTTTTAATTTGTTCTAATACATTTTCGTAACTTCAATTCCAATAATTTTCAATCGAATCTTTCTTTATACCTTTCAATATTTTCCAATGAAATACACTATTGAATCATTTTTTATCGAATAATTTTCAATATATTTTAATACATTTTCAGAACTTCCATTCCAATAACATTTAATCGAATCTTTTTTAATACCTGTTAATATTTCCCAATGAAAGACAATTTTTAATCACATTCAATAGAATAACTGTCAATATATTTTAACACATTTTCATAACTTCAACTTCAATAACATTTAGTCGAATTTTTTAAGATACTTTTCAATATTTTTCAATAAAGCATAATATTTAATATATTTCATCGAATAATTATCAATAATTTTTAATAATTTCATATTCTTATGACATTTCAAGAATATTACAAA